GCAACTATCTGATATTGACACATTGATTGTCACGCCGAGTCACCGATAATCGATGTAGATTTAGTGTGATGTAAAAATGAACGAAACTCTTGAATAATAATATTTTTAAGTATAATTGATCAACTTCAATATTATCATTTTAAATATTATCATTTAAATAAGAAATGCGCATATAAAAATATAAATATTGTTATTTTTAATCATATAAATTTACGAAGAAATAAGCGAATTAATTTAATACTTAATGTGTTAAAATATGTGGATATTTAAGCTAATGACAGTTTCATTAAACCTAACAAAAATTAATTTTTTTAAAAATATTTTGTTATTTATTTGCATTTTATTTATCTTATTACTTTGTAAAATAACTACAAAATCTTATAATATTTTCATTAAGAAATAATAAATTCCACCGTCTTAATTAAAGGACCTACAAAGAACTTACTGAAGAAGGTATGCATAACCTCTGGACACTCTGTATATCATGTATACTAAAACACTACGACGCGACGCAAACGATGCATCTCGAGAAAGGTACGAGGGCGAAGTTTCTTAATAAACGTTGACGTCGACACTGCGTGGCAATTCCTTAAGTCGATATAGAAACCCGCTTTTATGAACTGACTAACGGATTAGAAACAAAGCATTTTAATTAAGCTTTGTAAAAATATGCTAATCATATTAATAAAATTAAATTCTAGTTGTGTAAGGAAAGGACTTCAAATCTTATATTATTGTCAATTCTAATAATAGAAAGAATATCGTGCATTTTTTCTTAAAAAAAATAGGAAGTTTCATTAAAATATTAACAGCCTCAATGCAATAACAAATCAAGTATAAAAAAAAATACATATTTTTTATTAATTTAAGATACTTTAGTAATAATTAAATTTATGAAATTTATGAAATTTATGAAATTTATACATATATTACTAATAAAACTTCATTCTTTTTTTATACGCAGATAAAGATAAATCGAATGAGTCATCATCTCATGATATCAGTTTTATGTTTGAACATTTGTAAACGAATACATGCCGGCATAAATTTTTTTTCAATAAAATATTCTATATAATAATAGAAATATATTCCTTTTACATATACATGCGCACGCGCGAGCATGCGCACACATATATAATAATATAGTAAATAATATAGTAAAATCATATCATAAATATCAAATTAATATATATTTTGATTATGTGCATTATATGTATACAATATAAAAATTAATATTATTATAAATAGCTTGATAGTATATTACAATTAAAATTAAAAAAAAGTATGCCCCCAGAGAGATTTGAACTCTCGACCCCTGGTTTACAAGACCAGTGCTCTAACCCCTGAGCTATGGAGGCTTTCGATTGACATTTCTTTCAACACATTAAAGAGAAAAATAAAGTACATCATGTTTAATGCATTAAGTAAATATATTATTTTAATTACAATAAATCTCTTCATTTTATTTCATAAAATAATATTTTTAATTTAATAAAATGTAGAAGATTCTTGTGCAAAAAGAAGAAGAAAGAAATATTAAACAAAAGAAAAACCGATAAATATATTAATTAAATATACATATCTTTATAATCATTAAGTTTGAATTTTTTCGTTTATTTTTTTTTTTTAATATTCTATGAACAAAGAAAGACATAAGATTCATTAAAATAAAACAGATAGCTTTTTTCAAATTGTTTGTTGACAAAAATTATTTCAAAGCTTATTTCAAAAAAATTACAAAAATTAAAATAAAAGAAGACATCAATTCAAATAAAGCATCAATTTCAAATAAAACACCAATTTATACATCGTTACAGTTAAAATATTCATTTTAAAAAATCATTTCAATACTGTTTTTACAATATAGTAGCACTATTGAGTATGTCCAAATCAAAAGAATTTGTTAATATATTTCTCAATACCTTTGAACGTCTTCTTTCAGTACTACGATTAAATATTAAATATTTATTTTAATATTGCATATTTATAAGAAAATACTCACATATGCCACCATGAGCTTGCATGTTGACACGTCGCATTTTATAGTATTTTGCATTTCCCAGAAGCTCGAAATTTCGGCGAAATCTCGAATCCACCGAGACATTTCGCTACACGGTTGCAGAAACCATGCATTTACTGCAACCTCATATCTCCAAATTTGTCAACTTGGAAAATATACTTAGCTTCATATCTTGAGCTTGGTTATTACATATCTCAATAATAAAATAAAAATTCCAAGAATTATTTAAGCATAACAATACTTGCAATATATATATATATATTACGCAAAAAGAGATGACCATATTAAATATAAAAACATTGCTCATGCTAGTGAAAAAAAGAGCATTTTATCTTAATATTGACGATAATAAACAATGCGCAATGTAAAAACGTCATAAAAACCATCTCACTCGTTTTCCGCTAAATAAACTACGAAATGCGATAGAGGAAGTCGATGAAGGACAGCCTGTCATAATGCAGCCGGTTCTGTGCAGCTACTGTACCTTTTGCGTATCTTAGGGAGTGCATCCTTGAGTGCGTTTATGTCCGCTTGCGCCTGTCGTAAAATCGCTACGTTGCCTGTTTTAAGCTACCGACTTCGCGACGTTCCCATTGTAAACTTCAAGGATAAAATGAGAATAAAGTAAAATTTCGCCTGCATGAAATTCAGTTTGCAAAGAGGCACGAGAGGTTTATTGTTACTGTTATTATTGAACGCATTATCAGGAACGTGATTTCCGCAAAACTTAACTTTAACTTAACGCGGAATCCTATAAAAATCGACGATACATCTTATCGCCGTACGAAACACTTTTCAGTTTCTTCGAGATTACAGAGAAAGAGCGTTTTATGCTTAAAAGGACAAGAAAACGAACTGCGCGCAGTTTCGCAAATGTAATTTTTTTACGATACTGTAACTTTTTACACGCAGCAACGGTCGTCCGGGGGATCCTCTCTGTAAAAATGCGAAATAGAAAATTATTCGGTAATAACGGATTAAGCTCGCCGTTTTGAAATTAAAAACTTTAGCCGGCGGAAATTAAGGCGGAGTCGAGAAACTAACGAACCGGGATCGAGGACTCAAGTCAAGTTTCCGACAGAGCTAATTAGAAGTGGATGCTCGTGTCATCCGATGACTCGCGCGAATCGTGCTGATTTGATTAAAAGTATGCACAATGTCGCGGGGAGAGCGAGTAAAAAAGAAGCGCGATCATTTTGAGTTTATGCATCTGCGTTCGACGAGGAAAATAAATAAAGGCGGAACGAATGCTCTTAGCCGATGGTGAAAGCGGGAAGCATTTGTTTGTTTCGCGTTATAAAGCACGTCGTACGTTTCCGTTTGAGTAATCCTCCGTTTTTACTGCGGAGCAATTGCTTTTCCACATTCAAACCTGCAGACGTCTTTTGTCGTCAAGACAGCTGGCATAATCTGATTATCGTTAATGTATTTTATCGCTGCGATTGACATTTAGAACCGGTAATGTGTATTCATAGCGAGAGTATATTGCAAGATAAATAAGAAGAAATGTGTGATCAAAGTATTATCCCTGAAAGTCGACAACTCAATTTAATATCGAGATATTTACTTTCACATAATGCATTATGTGTAATAATGTGTGCATTATGTGTACGTCATTCATCTTCAACATTGCTACATACTTTTAATAGAAATAAACATTTAACCTTGAATATAGACAAATGCACTGTTATTAAAATTTATTTCTTAATATTTGTTTTGTAATATTCCTATTAAACATTTTTTTATTTAATGTTTCATCATTTCTGTTGTTAATATTAAACACAAATACAAATTTAATATTTATTCTATGAATCTAAATATTGACCTAAACATTTGCGATATTTTTCATTTATGTTTATTAACTAATTAACTAATCAATATTAGTTATGTTACACTTTATATTAATATTTATTCAATGAATCTGAAAAATATTGAAATAAATATTTGCGATATTTTTCATTTGCGTTTATTAACTATAATAATTATCTAATTAATATCACACTTTATTAACGTTTATTTACCTGCAAAAATAAATCAAGATACAAGGAGGGATAATAGATCTTAGAAGTATCTACTATCAAAATCCTGGAAATTTTCATCAAGTACGATCGCACGAATGATTATCTTACAGCGCGTTCCATCCGTCTCGTTCCGATCCATCTCACTTTGTTAGCCGCGCATCTATTGCCCATTATCATCGATATTACTGTCGCCTCTTGATCGATAAACGTCCGATTATAAACCTCACCATAATCGACACGCAGACGAACGATCAACAAAGATTACAAGGCGCAATTTTCTACTTGCAGAGAAATTAGCATCGCGTAACAGGAGAGCGCCGAGTGGCGTAACCAAGGACGTGGCATTACACAAAATGCAAATACGATTTCGTTGTCGATTACTCGCCACCGCGCGACACGAGGTCAACAAAGGAAAAGAAAAATCCATCAGGATATAACGGGATATGATAAACGTCTTTGATAATAAATGGACGGAGGCCTCGTCCACGTGCGCGTTATGAAACGCGAGGGATTACATATCTCGCAAATCATTTAGTTCACAAGTGAATTTACTGCTCGTATACTTTGCACATTAAATGTATTGTTGCGTGTATTTATCGCAAATCGGGACGAACATTGTGTCGGGAAAGCACGCGACTGTAAATACATTTCCATATAAATACATTCTAAAGATGCCATTGCAATACGTAAAAATAATGTATGGACGTTAATTTATGTTATGACGCATTTTTAACAACAAATTCTTTGTATAAATAGATACATCGAGGTATTAATAACATTTTTAATTAAAAACAATTGGAAATAAAGATCCCCGCGGATTCAACCTTTAGAGATAAACAATAAAATAATCTTATTTTCCATTTCGAAAGTTCTCCATTAAGATGAATTGAGTAATTGTAAAACTTGACGTGGTCTTAATTTCAGAATTAATTACGAATATGTAGATAAATAAAGATCATAAGAATGCAGGAAAAAAATCATCCACTAATATAATTTATTCAAGAAATGATGATCCATTTTAAGCTTAAGATAAAAATCTATCGTCACGATCTGTTCTGAGAAATAAAGACACCCAATCGGGCGGTATATCGAAAACAATAAAATCGCACTGAAACGGGTTACCTCGAGTTGATCTCGGTAGATCCAGTGTTGGGTGATCCAGGGAGGCGGCACGAGTATCGATTCGGAGTTAAAAGTTTACGTTATCCAGCTCGCGCGTGAGCTTTAGGGTGACCTCCAGGGTGGAGGTGTCGTTGTGCCACTTGGCGGAGGACGCGTTGGGATCCACCGGATGCGGGGTCGGTAGGTGCAGCCGATATCTAGAAGCGGAATCGCGACTGGTTTTTACGCGTCGGGCAGATTTACGGCCTCGTAAAATTGTCAAAGAAGAGCGCGCTCGCTCCCCCGTGCGCGCGCGCGCGCGCGCGCACCCTCGAAGTCAAACGCGCGAGGCGACTTCGAGGGCGAGCGGGCGGACTTCGCTCTCCTTCTGTCACGCGGGTCACACCGATAAATTGCCGGCCGTCGTGGCCGTCTCACCTTGGGCTGCGCACGTCGATCGCCTCGGATTCCACGGAGAGCTCCACTTTTTCCCGCGTTTCCTGGGGCAATTTCACCAGCACCGACAGCCACTCGCAGGACGCCGTGCTCGGCGTTTTAAAGCCCATCTAAATAACAATTCGTCCGCCTTTTCAGGGCCGCGATTCACACGTGTAACGTGTCGATCGGAACGAATTCTTTTTCGACGCTCCCGGAGACCTCGGGATTTTAAGGGAGAACGGTTGACAAGTTCTAAACGCGCATTCGCACGTTATTTCAACCTCTTGTTTGCTTTTTTCCTGCGTCGCACCTTTTTTGTGACGGCAATTTTATTTTTTTAAGAAAATTGCAAACACCGTATTTTCAACACGCAGTCCGAAGACAAATATACATATCATTTTTCTCTAAATTTGTCCTAAATTTTTCTCTAAAATTGACATCTCGTTTTTATTCTTTTTCGTTTTTTTTTTTATTATTTTTAATTATTGTCTAAATTTATCGATTTTTTTGTCAATAATTATAAAAGAGTTATGTGCTGACAATTTGTAGCTCTTATCGTCATTTCCATCAATGTAGATTAACTTTGATTATCTCGATTCACTTTCTACAATTCACTTTCTATAATTCTACGAATTAGAAGACGAAAGGTAAAAATGGAACCGAGTTAATCCAACCGAGTTAATCAAAGTTAATCCACGTTGATGCAAATGGAGGTTAATAATTCCTCAAGACAAAATAAAAAAATCATTGTAAAGAAGATCGAATAGAGTTATGAAACAATCCAATATTATTCCGAATACCTACTCCGTTGCGAGAAGAAAAAAGACTTACTCCCAGATAAATGTCTTCCGCCGTCACCGCCTGCTTAAACTTCATCTCGTATTCGGGCGCCTTTCTAGGATCGTAATCCTGCGCGCTCTGGATGTCGATCGCTTCCGAAGGATGCCAGATATCGTCACCCGCGCCCTGAAGGGGGGCGTGAGGTCCCTGAGAACGGTCCTGGGAAGGGTCGCTCGGAGCACCGATGTCACCCGGACCTTAAATAAATATTTCGTTTGAAATCTATCTGCTCGTCGCGCTCTCTTGTCCCGCTGAGGCTGCTAATAATGTTACATTGTCCCGAGAATAACGTGTGATAACATCGAATATTATCCCGAGGCAGCGCGCAAACTGTTTAACGGTAATTTAAAAACGGATGTATAACGATGATTTATAATTAACGCGTTGCACCTCGCAATTGCGAATTGTGAATTACACCAGCCTTATTAGAATTAATGATTGACAGCGCAAATATAACTGGCAGCAGGCCGCTTCATTGCTATTGCGCGGATCATTTATAAAACGTTACTACGTCGATAATATTACCAGTTTGTATGAAGAGGAAATCGAAATATGCATATATAAAACTCGCGGTATGTTACGTTCAGTTACGTTCTCAATTAGCGTTACTACGATCTAATGAGAAAGAGAGAGGAAAGTACAATCTAGCGTTATCTACGCGGAATATCTATTCGAGATAGATGTGTTATAAAAAAAAGAAAATTGTCTTTCTCTTTATTTAACTTTCACGACGAACTAGCATAACTGTCAAAGATTGCGATAATTGATTAATTAAAACTTTACATAATTGTTTTATTTATAAAAATAAATATATATTTACATAAAGTTTATATCCTGCAGTGATAAAATTTTTTATTACACTGTTATAATAATATAAAAAATTCTTTTCAAACGTGACTAATATATATAATATACATAATTAATCTATATTAAATCTATAATTAATATCTATATATAATTAAATATAATTATATGTATGAAGTAGTGATATAGTTATTCTATATGATTTTATACGTATATGTGTATTAATATATAATTATATTCACATACCACATATGTAATTATATATTTATATGGACGTGTTCTATTATATAATTATTCTGGAAAATTCTGTTTACCGGGTATTATTTTTATGATATCGCTATATAAAGCAGCTTTTTTGAATAAACGTTGCTAATTTTATTCGTGTTTATTCGTATTTTGTTTTCTCATTTTATAACCTGGCATCTGAGAACTCATGAGAAACGCAATCCTTTTGCGCGTTATATAATTTAATATAAGGTAAAGTTACAGCTAAACTTATGTGCAACATTAATTTATCTTGATTTCGTTCCTTTTAATCATTTCATCGCGAATCGGCGAGCCTCAGGTTCGCCGTGCGCGAGAAAAAACAAAAATGCGAAAAATAATCGGCTCGCAAACATATATTGCGAATATAAAGATACGCGAATGAGGAAACGTGCGTATGTGCGAGCCGTTTTGTTTGCCAATTAATTGTGTTCTTCGCTCGGCCAAATAATATCCCGAACAATACAATCGAATTAAGCGTAAACGATACAACGAGATTTCAGTTCGGGTTTCGCGGACTCGAAACTGCACAGGGGAAAATTAGTCGACGCGCGACCGATTGTTTTAACAGCAACAATTTTGCCGTGTATCTCCATAATTAATCGCAGTTGTAAACGTAGCTCACCCAACTTTCTCGCGCCCGCCTGCGGTAAATCATCCTCGACGTCGGAGTCGTCCTTCGGTGGGCAGATTAAATTTTGAAGCGCCTCCAAATCCCTCGGACCAAAACAGCCGTCCATCGCGAATATCATATAATAGTAACACGCGAAAGATAGCTCTTCGGCTCCTACGGCTACAGCTACAACGTAAGCGCCCCGCAACGTAAATTAAGGTCGCCATGGCGACCTCGGAAACTCCGTTTCCGAAGGATATCGTTCCACATTTTGAAAGAAGACGCGAGGTCTAGAACAATTCTGGGAAGGAACGCTTGGAGTATCGATGTCATCTGGGTCACCTTTTCTCCTAAATAAATATTTCGTTTGAAATCTATCCGATTGTTGCGCTCTCGTTCCGGAACTACAACTACACGCGCAGTCCGCAACAACAAATTAACATCGCCATGGCGACGAGCTCGTGGCTGTAAGACGACGACAATTCGAAACTGAGTCGACCGAAAAATTTCAAACACTTAATTTTGCGAAACTATTTATTTATGGGAGGATGCTTTGACTAAAACTAAAGGTTATTGAAATTTAAAGCAGCCAAAGGTTATTGAAACTTAAAAATAGATATCTCTTATATTTATACTATTTAAAAGTATAAGTTTGTAAGCAAAATTGAAATAAAAATAAAACGACATGATTTTTAATATTTTTATGAGAAAAAGTTTTAGCTGCAAACTCCGTTTAATTTAATCAACGATTCATTTATTAATAGTAATATTTCTACTACATTTGTTAACAGGAATAAAGTCAGTTTTTGTCAGTATTTAATTCCATGAAAAATAAGAATAACAAATTATGTAGTTAAAAATTTTGTTAACAAATCGATCTATTCGCCGATTAAATTAAATCGTCCTCAAAATCATTGGATTTTTCCCGATTAGCTTTCCTAATAAACTTTACGGTAAATCAATGAAAAAAATAAAGAAGTTTCGTAACTTTAAAATTTAAAGCTTCAGTTCCAAGAGCTTGCGATAAGAATTTATTCGAAAAGAAAAAAATCTATTTTTTATTATTCGAACTTCTCTAGACATTCATAATCCGATCTTATATTCAAGATACGATCTCGATATCATCTCATTGGCTGGATAAAATCCCAAAACCATGTTTAAAACAATCTTACAATTATCAGATTTATCGCGCACGTGATGATGCAAAATTCGCGGAAGCGTTTGCGACTTCCTGTGGAATTTCCGTTTCGATCCATCGCTATCGCTGACAGCGGGATGAACTGTTGCTCAATCGAGAAACCTGAAACGTGAAACGCTTCACGTGCAGTCTCGCGCAGTTTGACCAACGCAACGGCACTGACCATCCTTTCCGCGGCAGCTTACCAACATGGGGGACGTGATGAGCGAGAAGCTGTCAAAAAAGTAAGTAAAGTGAACAACGTCAGACGGAATTGTCAAATATCCGTAGGATATTCGCCCGTCGTGATCGCTCGATCACTCGAGCGGCCACGAGCACGCGATTTCTTCCCGCCATGCGGGCGACATAACCTGAAAAAAAAATTCGACATGCTGCTCACCACCACGCGGTCCACGCGTCGTCCGCTACGTAAGATCCGCACTTTTCCGTAGATAACGATATCTCGTAGACGAATCTAAGCGCTGATGAAAGCGCCACGTGATTAAAGTCCAAAATCATGCTCGGCACGTTGGCAACTGCTCGCATTATCTTCGCGCGGCCGGTGACGCGAACGTGGCTGGTGAGCCACGGGACGGAATTGCGTCAGACTTCCCCGCGTCGGTTCTCCACGAAGAAGTGCGTAATGCTCATTTGATACATAATGCCCGTTCTCGAGAGAAGTTACCAAAGGCAACGTCCTGATTGCAGTGAGCTGAAAAGGCGGCTCAAGGCCGAGCAGAAGGCCAAGGAGAAGGCCGAGAAGGAGGAGGTCAGGGCACTTGCAGCGGCAACTCAACCCAAATCCTCTGAGAAAAAGGATGTCAAGGAGGAAGAAATTAGTCCAAATGTAAATATCATAATCTTGTAAACTAGGAACTCATGTAGGATATATTAGAATGAATTTATTTTATGGGGAATACAAATCTTTTGTATTATAGATAAGTGATTACTTTCTCTTATTAAAACTAAAGTTAATTTTATAAAATTTATCATTTGTATTTACAGGAATATTTTAAGCTTCGGTCGAACTGGGTTAGTCAACTTAAAGCCATGAATGACAATCCTTATCCACATAAATTTCATGTTTCAATCTCTCTTGAGATGTTTATTGAGAAGTTTAAAGATGTTGTGAAGGATGGTGAAATACTAGAGAATGAAGTACACAGCATCGCCGGTCGCGTCCACTCCATTCGAGGATCCGGTGCCAAATTGATCTTTTATGATCTTCGAGGGGAAGGTGTCAAGGTACAAGTGATGGCCAATGCAAGATTATACGAGAGCGAGGACAAGTATGTAGCGGATACTGCAAAAATTAAGAGAGGCGACATTATAGGTATCATTGGCAAACCTGCAAAAAGTAAAAAGGGTGAATTCTCAATCATACCACGTTCTATTACTCTTCTGACTCCATGTTTACATATGTTGCCTCATCTTTATTTTGGTTTGAAGGACAAGGTGAGAAATAATTCTGCAGAAAAATTCAATCCTTTGCTAGTATATAACATAGATATTGGAATCAATATGTAATTTCATAATTCAATGTCATAAAAATTAATATAATTAATATAATTATATGTTATTAAAATATATATTTTGTGCAAATAATAAATGAAACACTTATGCACGGAAACAGGAAACAAGATTTCGACAACGGTATCTGGATCTTATATTAAATGACAAAGTTCGACAAATCTTTTACACACGCGCGAGAATAATCGCTTATATACGTCGATACCTGGACGAAATGGGCTTCCTGGAAGTTGAAACTCCTATGATGAACATAATTGCCGGAGGTGCAACCGCCAAACCCTTCATTACACATCATAATGAACTCAACATGGACTTATATATGAGAATCGCTCCTGAGTTGTATCACAAGGTAAAGTTGATCTTTCTTCATCTAGCTTAATATAAATATAATTCTGGAATAAAAAGAAATACAACAGTATCATAAACGTTTAATAGATGTTAATCGTCGGTGGGATCGACAGAGTGTACGAGATTGGTAGGCAGTTTAGAAATGAAGGCATCGACATGACTCACAATCCCGAATTCACTACTTGTGAATTCTATGTTGCATATGCTGATTATAATGATCTAATGGTAATGACGGAGAATATGGTGTCTGGCATGGTGCAGGCCATACATGGGAGTTATAAGATAGAGTATCATCCCGATGGACCAGAAGGCGAAGCGTACACAATTGACTTCACACCGCCTTTCAAACGCATCTCGATGATGAAAACATTGGAAGAAGTCTTACAGGTCAAACTGCCCGAAGCTGATCAGCTAAACACGCCAGAAACAACTAAGCTTCTTAGCGATCTCTGCGAGAAGCATGGAATTGAATGTCCTCCTCCCAGAACATCGGCAAGGTTACTGGACAAGGTAAGATATATGTCAAATTTAACACTAATAATTTCTTCTTTCGAATCTAATAATTTTAAAATGGTATTTTATGCGTAACCAAGAATAAAAATAATTGCAGAAATATATATTTACATATATAATATCTTTGTATCACCTATATTCATAATTTATAAGAGCCCTAACAATTATATGTAATAATATTGACTACTCTAAATAAGATTTTTGCAAAATAGCTCGTTGGAGAATTCATCGAAGAGACGTGTATCAATCCTACCTATATCATTGATCACCCACAAGTGATGTCTCCATTGGCAAAATGGCATCGATCTGAAAAAGGCCTTACTGAACGATTTGAGTTATTCGTTATGAAAAAGGAAATTTGTAATGCATACACTGAATTGAATGATCCGATCGTTCAAAGAGAAAGGTACATAAAAAATTTTTAATTAAATTAACATTTTTTTGTTAAATGTTTATATCAATTTATTAATATTTTAAGAGAATGAATCATTCATTATGAGTTATTCAATTTTATGATTATGATTTTATAAATTCATATATCTTAAATGCATATATAGATTCGAACAGCAAGCAAAAGATAAAGCCGCGGGCGACGAGGAGGCTCAATTAGTTGACGAAAATTTCTGCACAGCTTTAGAATATGGTTTGCCACCAACGGCTGGTTGGGGAATGGGCATTGATCGACTAACAATGTTCCTCACCGATTCAAACAATATTAAAGTATTAATTAAATATCTATATTACACTTTTTATAAAAATCAAGAAAATCAATTTATCTTTCCATAGTTAAATTACTTTAAACGAGAAAATTTCAAAAACCTATAAAGATAATAGGAATGTAAATTTCTTTGATTTTTACAGGAAGTATTGTTCTTCCCTCAAATGAAGCCGGACGATCCGAACAAAAATAAGGAAATGACTGAAGATGACAAAGCGTCGAACGATAGTGCAGAAAAGTGAAAATTTTAAATTATAAGAACAAATATTTAAAATTATTTAAAGAAAATAATAATAATAATAATAACATAAAACTAATTAGGAATGCACTTAAATATTTTTTATCAAAGATAAGGATTATCTGGATTCAATAGAAAATTTACTTACAGAAAAAAAGTATTTTATTTTCAAATTATATTAAAAGAATTAAATTCTGTAAAAAATAGTGTTTCTTATATGCATTATATTTATTTCATACCTGACTACAATATACATCCATTACATGCAATCAAATATACATTTATAAAATCACAAAAACATACAAGAACAATGTCATGTATATTTATCAGTATTTCTTGTCTACTAACATCATATTTATAAACCGTTTGTATTCTTTATATTTTCCTCTTTTATTATTTTATCATACGGATAAATGATCGAATTCACAAGATTATTTATCCAAACCATTATTAAAATTATTTATTTGAACTATAATGCTTCAAGCATATCATTATCTTGATTAACAACTTGTAAATCTGAATGTTCATAATGCTATTCTTTAAGAGATAAAACTGACGTTTTTAAATGTGACTTGAAAAAACTTAAAACTTATATAAATTATATATGAAAATATTATACATAAATTGCACAATTATATAAAAAAATTCATAAAGAATTAATCAGAAAATCTGAAAAAAAAATTTTTGCAAGTAAGGAACATTATTGTATATTAGATTGCATTTCAAAAACTGAGTGAAATACTTAATTAATAATTGTTCCAAGATATAAAAAAATACTATAAAAGTAAAACCTATATGTTTAAAAAGTTTGAAACTGAAATTTATTATTTGTTCAAGAGTTGGGTTAAAAAAATAAGTTTTATTTTTATTCCAAATCTAATCGTGTCGCTAATTAATTTATTTCTTTTTTCATCACTACCAAAGTATAGTTTTGAAACGCAATCCCAAGTATTCTTCATATGCATATATTTGATATCATACTTCAAAGTACAACAGCTATAATACAGCCATAATGAACACGAATAGTATGCGAGAGAAGAGAGTAATATGTATTTTACACTTTAACTTCTGGAACAAGCCAAAGAACATCATCGTATCTTATATCATTACTTGTTAATATAAGTAATTGTTAATAAATATTTGCATATTTGTTGGCAGCATATTTATATTGTCTGATATCCATTTGGGAAATAAATGTAATTCTATATAAATTTAATAGCTAATAACACAAGAGCTTTATATCAGCTCATCACATCTAACTCATCGAGATATTTCAACTTTAATAGTCTGTGCTGGTGTCATATATTTAGATGAATACATAAACGGTCCTATAATCCATATTCTACAATCTATTGCACATCTAGCGCTAAATATGACCCTTTGAAGCCCATTTAATATAAAGATCATATAATATACCCAGAATGTATACATCTGTCAAATCTGATATGATGAAATATTTATTCACTATATACAAAATTTTCATATAATGTGATGTAATGTGATCACATTTATTAGACATATAAAAATATATTTTACAAATTTAAAAAAATTCATTCCTTTAATAGTTTATATTTTATAATTTATTTAAAACTTTTAGTCATGTTTAGCTCTAAATGTGCAGATCGAAATAGTAAACTAAGTTAAAATAACAAAAAGAATACGTTTCATTAGTATTTCATTGATATGTATCTCGCATTTTTAACTAACTAATGACTGTAAAAAAAATTCCTGAAATGTGTGTGACCATCAAGATTACAATAACATATTTCCATTATGCATTATACTATATATATATATATGCATTATAATATATTTTTATATTATGGAAAAATCAATATATTTTACATTCTTGAATCCTTTAGCAGTCATTGCACACATTTGAAGAATCTCTTATAATATTTTTTTCATTAATAATCATCACAATAATTGTAAAGTTTAGAAATGCAGTGCTCATCGGAAGATTAAATATTTTGCTGGCAGCCATTTCAGTATTTTATGTATATTTATCGATAAAAACACTTTATACTATTTGAAAATGTATATTAAATTTTCCACACAGAATAAATGAGTTTATTGACTGGTAAAAACATGTTCATAAATTGAAACATGCTTAATTAACCAAGATTAATTCATCTATTGATAATAAAACTTGGACTATTGTAACAAAATAGAAACAAAATCTAAAAGAAATCTTTATCAGCTCTCCTCATCCTGAACGCTTTTTGTAACGGAATTGTAATGAGCGCCTAATTCGTACATATGTCGATGATAAGTCAATGTTACCTTTTTGCCATTATTATATTCATTTCCGACGATGTAAGGAGCTCCTGTAGCTTGTATGACTTCGATTGGACATTTTAATATACGAGACAACACTTGCAGCTATAATAATAAAAATAAAAGATTTGAAATGTTGAATTGACTAGGTCACAAGAAAAAATAATTTGAGAATTAATTAATTTATGACTATGCACAGTTTACGAGTTTATGAGTATGTATACCTCAACTGCACCACCCCAAGCACTTGTTTCAGCTACATCGTTGCAATATTTTTCATACTCCTCAGGTGTCAATAATTCATCGGAATCTGGATTAGAAAGAAAGGGCAAAAAATCGTTCATGTTTTCTCTTAAATAGTCAGCAGTCTTTGTTCTGAGATCATGCAGGCTAAGAGGTGTCTCTCCATTTATCTTGAGCTGATGTGCTATTGCATTATACAAGCTAGAAATAAATTCAAACTTTCTGTTATTATATACTTAGACAAACAGATTTTATATATGTAAATTGTAATGTATCATCATTTTTCTTCATTAACAATATAAATACAATATAGAATATACAGAATATATTTTAAGATCTTTACCAATGACCATCACTAGGAATTTCATAGATTATCAAATCACGTTCCATAAGAATCATCTTTATGGCTTCTATCTCAATGTTCCTTTTGCCAAAGACATTGAGTGCTTCCTGTTCGATGATCCTCTGATTACGTTCCTTTTCTGCGATTGCTTTCTTCTCTCTTCTCTTCTGTGCTTTAGAAACCCTGTGTGTGGACTGCTGCTCTGAACAATCATTTTTATTAGCTTGTTCATTCGCTTCTGGTTCTGTCTGTTCATCGTTCAATGTGATATGAGCCAATTTCCATGTGCTTAGCTCTTCAGCTTGACGTTTCTCTAAACTCTCCTCTAAGCATCCTATCTCTTCCGTGATCTCCTTTTTCTTCTTCTTGTCACCTTTGCAAATGGATTTCTTCAAGATTTGTATTTGCGCTATAATTAAGGAGGAAAGATCAAACATCAGGCACTGACATGACGCAAATAACATTAACCTTAAATTCTTGCAAACTAATGTTGCAAAATTTTATTTAAAAAAAAAATGAAAATAAAGGAAGTTTCAGTTGTACCTTGCAGTTCCTTCCGTTCCTTTTTGTGTTTCTGTGTTAATTCTTCCTCCGTCAATGCCACCTCTGCCATTTTAATTTAAATATAACCAGATATAACCTCTATCTACTGAGCAAATTCCAATCGCGGAAGCACGCTTCGTGATTGCTACGGCAAACGGAACAGGAAGCTGTATCGATTCTTCATTTTCTGGGACTGAAGCAGCGCCGGAAAGATGAAACGAGACACGTGATAAAAGACAACCTTTTGCGCTAACCAATCATTTGCCGTACGTCACTGGCATCACAGGAATGACTGAACATTGACATCATAACTGAATGACGCACAGAGCTTCGCAAATCCTGGAGTTCCTCAAGTTTAAACATTGCCATTTTCAGATTAACTATGCATCTTTGCAAAAACATTCAAGCATTTAATGCTTGTGCAGTTCATTAACAAAAGAATGAATTTAATTTAATGATATATATGTACTTATATAATAAATTAAAATTATCATTTTAATTTATCATATTTAATATATATATTAATAAAATACGTTAATAAAATGGCGGACGGTGTTCAAGTTCTTATTTAAGAAACTTTAGACGAATTTGCAAAACTCGAGAACTCACTTTGTATGTACTGATATCCAATTCTATCAAAATATCTGTCAATTTTACTTCCAGTTTAATTTACTTACTCTTTATCTTTCTTTAGTTCTTCAGTTCTTAGATATTATTTAATAAATTAAGCGTGATTAACCGGAATTTAAAATCAACCTGTTTGTAAAAAATATGACTTTGACTAAATTCCAATTAATTTAATCTTTCGTTTTAATTCATTGTAATCAGAAATTTCACTAAAAACAATATTCTGCCTATAGAGTCAACTACTGATTAAGTTAATCCGAATTTAATCATCGTTACATTTACATATTCAAACATAACATACGTATATTTAACGTACATGCGCATGTTAAGAGCTAATAAAAGAAGGGAACGATAATATAGATTTATCATTTATTAATATCCAATGAAGGAAGTGGAATACAGTTTTTGTTCGCTAAGCGTCATCTCCAAATGTCTCCCTTATCTAGGAAAAGAAACGGGCGTCTCTCTCTCTCTGCGGCTCCCTTGAAGGGGAACGCCGAGTCAAATCGCGATCATCAACATTATATACATATATGTATATATAAAACAATTGTTACACACTAGAGCGAGAGCGCGTAATACAAAACAATGATTCTTCGGTTAGTTTATTACAATACGTCACTTTACTTTACGTTACTAATAAAAATATAACTCTCATTACCGTTCAGTTACAATGATCGTCCGTCTCCATACAGTGTATAAGTAAAATATCTCTCTTGCAGTCGCTTACATATCTACGGAGTGTCCGCCAAATCGTGCGTCTCGCAGAGGTCTGTTTTTAGTTCGGCTTTGCGCAAGTGATTTAATAATCACCGCCTTTCCGTCCGCCAAATTCTAAAAACGTCCGCTTCGTCGATAGGACTTACGGCAATAATAATCGAAGACACTGATCAGCTACGCGTTGCTAGACCATCATTAATCACGACTGACTAGGTTTTTTTTTTTATTCAATTTTAACATTGTTGATTGTTAAAAACCTTACCGTTAACTTTACACAGCGTATTTATTATTTGTAACCGATTAATCTTAATCGTTAAGCGATTCGACTCGATTACAAGCTAATTATTTAGAATCACTTAGCTCTAGTTAATAAAATAATTAATCTTGATTATCAGTAGGCAATCTTAAATCACGATTGCTATAACGTTAAAAAGGAAAGCCCTAACGTCGGCGCGAACGATCTTAAATTTAAGTCTCGCTTCGTTGTCCTTTCTCCTCTTCGTTTTTCGGGTAATTCTCGTCATCGGCGTTGATAACAAGTTTCGTCATTGATTTGAGATCAGAACTTCGGAAGATTTCTTCGCCAACGATCGGAAAACCTTTCCGAAAAGCGCAACGATTGAATCAAGAAGTAGCAGCTTCTCTTCCGACGCGGGACTTTGCGGACACCTCGCAGGAATGCATATATACATATTATGTATATATACACACACACACGCACACGCACATAAGTGTATATATGCATTCGTGTATATATATCCCCAAGTTCGCAACTTGTATATATGTATACATTATTTTTTTCTCTATTTAATATTTATATATGTAGACATCTGTATATATAGAACTATTCTCATGCCATATTACAACAATACAAACAGTCAATATTAATGATAATGTTAACTTGCGTAATGCAAGCACCACAGCTAGTATAGCAGTTTGAGCAATACGTAATGCTTCCTTGTATCAGGATCGGGAGATTAAACGCGACGGATCAGCGAAGGGATCATCGAGAAAACACACGATGGTAAACAAATTAATCTCCGTCACCCTCGTCGCGCTTGATTCCATTCTACAGAGTGTCTCGAAAGTCAATATTGGGGCAACAACACTCTCGTGTCATCTATTAATTTTAATCTGCCGTTTACATGTAACATAAAAATTATAATAATTATAATAAAAATATAAAAATTAAATTAATATATAATTTAAAACATAAACAAACAATTTTTCTAATATTTATAAAGAATAACATTAATCTCTCTTAAATAATAATAATAAATTCAAAAAATATAAAATAATTAAAGTGATAAAATAATAATTTAAGCTAAGATATGAGCGAAATTAAAAATTAAAATATCACGTACTTTCGTCTTGAAAACGAAAGAATTATTTAAAAAATGGAATTCTTAATTTTTTGTCGAGAAGAAGATCAATCGCAAAAGAGTATGAAATGCTTCCGAAATTTCGATACAAGACTCAGGACACCATGTACATCGAATCGCGCCTATAGGAAAGATTTTTACCACTTTCTAACATTGATTGTGATAGATTTAAGCGTAATGAAACACCGCTGATTATATCACTTCTATTCCCACCATGTCGATACGATTCAGAACTAAGATAAACCTTTTTTCCACTCATTGAATTGTCACACGCAAGAGTTGAAGCAGAATCGAACAAATGGAATTCCATATCGGAGCATAAATCAGCATGAATTCATCTTAGTTCCGACTCGTAAGCTTTCCTTGCCACATTTTCGCCGACGAAGCATCTAGCAGCTAGTCATGTAAATATGATCTCGATTTTCTTCTAACATTTATCCACGGATAATGTAGTTATTTACACAACATTTTCTAATGTATTTACATCGCCAGCTACAATTTTTACGCGGCTATGTAATAAGAGAAAAGTAGCCTTTGTACCGCTTGTCGCGCGCGCGCGCATCTATAGACGTCGATGCTTCGTCTTGTAGATCTGACTTCCTCAACTAAATGCAACATCTCTTTCGGTTATTTTCAGGATTATTCCCGAATCATTGTGTCGTAAAAAAAAGATTGAGAAAATTTATCAGCGTAGAGATCGCAATTTAAAAAGGTTTTGTTCTCGTTCCTTAAATTAACATTTTTATTTCGCTCATAATGCATTCTTGTCTATAAATAATCGCACTGTTACTTTTCAGATTATTTCGTAATATTGTCTTAATGATATCATTTTCTTCAGTATAAATTATACGCATATATTTTGCCTTGTCAGCTAATTTAATAATAAATATATATAAATAATATAAAATATATATATATATATATATATATATATATATATCCTCAATGTATGTATGTATGTCTATGTTCGTGAATAAATAATATTCGTAGGATATTAAGAACGAATAAATTTGTGAATTTAAATGGATAAAATCGTGTATAACGAGTAACACCTATCAATTAGTGTTACGAAATGCGTCTCTTCACTTTTACTGTCTTTCCTACTTCCTCCCTTTCTTGTCAGCGATATGAATATCTCACGCGAAGAAATAGCCCTGAAAGAACTTGCCACAGACTTTGCAGAGCATTACGTATTACGTCTCTATATAACATTTGGCAATGAGTAGAATACTAACAGTTCTTACGCTAATTACTTCTAAGCGTCACAGATAACATTACGTTACTTCTCCTTAATAACAACAGGGAGACTCAGGTAACAGTTTCAACAAGTTTTCATGCTCGGCGTATTATTCCGTTAAACAAAATTCCATTGATATTTTAGTTCATATCTTTGCGTCACGTATCGATGAGAAAAGTGTACTTAAAATAGGGACTTGCAAGTGTAAAATGAGATTACTGATAACTCACGGTATAAAAATGGCACAAAGTATATGAAAGATACATCTGAATATCTTTTTAATATAAGCAAAATTTTATTTATTGGAATAATACGGGAGATGTGCTAGTTTGTATAACAGAATTATAGGAGCTGTACAACGAGGATCATAAAAGGAAGAATCTAAAAGATTCATTGACCAGCAATCAACAATGAAAGATTTTGTAAAACCGAATTGAGAAATCAAATCAAATTATCATATACGAGTCATGCGTAAATAAACATAAATTGTCCGTAAATTGTAAAAGTTTTCCGTCTGATTTCTTATCTGAAGTTTCCATTTATTTCGTTCATCTCTATTTTGTTTAAAACATTACGAATAAAAACAAACATTAATAAATAAAAACAAACATTAATGAAATTTTAATAATATTTAATATTATTTATATTCTTATAATTAATTAAATTTTCAGTCCAGAAATATAAACAAAATTAATCATTATTTTTATTAAAATTTTACTTACTCATTTTTAGTTTACAATGTATATTTTAATCAATATTTATAGGATGTGGAAAATGAAAAATAAAAAAAATATCCAAAATATCCCAGAAATCAGATGACAAATCTTTAGTCATAATTTATGCTCATTTATCAGCACATGGCTCGTATGTCACTTAATTTCAATGTTTGAGACTTGAGATTTCCGAAGACTTGATTTTTGGAAAATCCAACATTTTGAGATTTAACAGTACAATCTGCAAAAACGAACAAATACGATTATTTTACGATATCATAAAAGTTATTACGAACTAGCACTCATGCAAAACTAAAAATGCTCAAGATCGAGAAGGCTAAGGTATCTATAGTACCATATAAATCTGCGAAAATAGATTAAAGATTCACGACATGAGATACGACGAAATGAGACAACAACATCTACATGTGTCAGCGAAGATCTACAGGAGATAAAGAATCTATAATACGAAATGTCAGTGATATTATTATTGTGAATTGTGACTCGCACGCAAATTTTGCGTAAAAATCTATAAGATCATCGCGAAATAAAAGATCTACGGAATAAAGGAACTACCGGATACGGAACCAAGAATCGTAATCGTGTCCTTTCTTCACGAGCTACCGCCGCGACTCGAAGAACGAGCGGCAGCGAGCAAATCGTCAGAGTTTCTCGGTTGCTGCTGATTGATGAACATTGGCTGATGATGCAGGCGCGACGGATGGGCCCACGCTCGTAGATCGCTCCAACGGGAAGGGTGCCTTGCCTAGGGGTGGTTGCGAGATTGCACGCTTCGCCGTCCTAAAAGAGCTGCCGATCGATAATCAATCAATAAATAATCGTAAATGCCTTTCTCGAGATAACTGAGAACATTTAACAATTTCGATTCTTTCCGTCAGAGAGTTCATGAAGTTCATCATAAAATAATAATTTTTCAAAGATGGAATACAAATAAATATTCTTATCAGAATTATTTTATTATCAAATTGTTAACGTTTCATATTACAAAAGTTATTTTATATAATACTCAGTTATTAAAAAAAATATATATAAAAAAATATGTTTTTAATTATCTTTATCAGACTTATTATGAATTTTCTTTTTACAATAACTTTGGCATCGTGTGCCTTGAAAAGAAGAAATTTAGGCATTCCAAAGTTATCTCGATAAATGATTTGTTGTTGGCGCATTCAAGACGCACTGTCATTCGACTGACAGCACGTGAACTGATTATTGCAAATGGACATCGTATATTGCATTCGCACATCTAATGAAAATCCATCGATTGTGCGACAGAAATGAATTGTAAATTGATCCTGGAAACAGAAGTCTCTTTAATAATAAATTTTAAGAAACAAGTTACAAGATCTATTGTTATTTAAATGCGATAAAAATAGGATAAATACAATAATAGAAAAATCTCGACTAATGCTAATTGAAAAGCGACTTAGCTTGAAAGTCTATCGATCAAAAGATGACGATAATTCGGCAACGTCGGAATTGTTAACTGGACTAATTTCCAGATGGTACTTACAATAATGCCAATAAGAGCCAATACTAGGTGAACATATATAGAATTTACACAAATATACCTAGCATTTGGCTTTTACCAGCATCATTGTAATTACTGATTCCAGATGGTATTGTGCAACCCGCTTCTGTGCTGTGCGATATGTGCAAGAAGCAGCAGTGTTACATCATCTCTCTTATCGCATTCGAATAAAAGCACAAGGCACAGTAATTTATTCCTCTTTTATAACATTTAGGCTGAAAACGATTAATGATTTCACTTGCATCTAACAGTGCACATTATTCATTTCTGTTGTTGTTATTGCTGTAACATTAACATTGTGTACACATTATCGAGAGTTTATATACAAATAACATCAACAGACATAAGAAAAATATGTAAAATATAATTTCTTTAACAAGTTCGATATAAAATTTTTCTCAGCAAAAATTTTCTCAGAAATCTTAATTAACAATATCTTCAATATAAAATATTTCGATAATTAAATCGAAGAATATACGACCAAAAATTAAATAAAATAAAAATGTAAAAAATAGAAAAATGAGATTTTTGCGTATTATTTAGATTTCCCTTGAGAACTCGAGATCCTTTAGCTCTTCACGTTGGCAGATTCAGCAAAATTTCAGAAAATATCACATACGAGGATCTCTAAAAATATCATCTTATACTCTTTTTACATATTTCACATTCTGCATTGAATAGTGTGCTTCGCATTGAAATTTAACTTGCTTGCCAGTGAAATAGATCGCCATTGAAAGCGGATGAATGAGAACAGCGCAGTGAGAAAGCGGCGTGTTTTACACTGGTATTGTACTGCTGGAAAAGCGTGACGTAACATCTCTGTAAAGCGTTAATGAATAATGAACCAGATGACGTGTAGACGGAAGACACCTGTCCGCCCTGTGGATGACAGCGAGACGATTATTTAAATCTTGTCGTCCTCGAATGACGTGGAGGGGGGGGGAGGGGATCGTGGCACTAAAGCATTCAACTAAGCGAAACAATTCTGTCCAAGCTTCTGTTGTTCGATCCTAAAATAGCATAGCTCTGGCAGACAATTGCAATTATACTAAAAAAAGCTATAATTTCGCAGTCTCTTATATTCCCCTGCGTGTAATTACAAAATAGCTTTTCCGGATTTTTCTGCTTCCACCACAAATGCATATTCGTTTTAAATGTGATCACACATACGGGATCGTATCCTGAGGAACATTTTATCGGAAATAAACTACATAGTTAGTACATCACAGATTCGTCGAGTCTTCGCATTATTTTTTTTCTTTCGCACTTGCTGCCAGTTCTATGGAGAGAACCATAAGTAGACAAAAGCGAAAAGGGCAAAACGATTTTTCTCTCCCTTTCTCTCTTTATAGGAGATAGCAAAGTACAGCTGCGGAGTGATGTGTGAATATTCATTTCTACAAGCACGCCAAGAGAGAGAGAAAAAAAAAGAGAGAATTTTATTAGAAGTTGCCTAAAGTCTCATCTTACTCATTTAATCTTTTTTTTAATTCTTGACACTCGTTTTCTCGGTAGCGTACACTATCGTTTGTCCCGCGATTCCGTCACCTATGGAATGCAACATTATGAACGAACCAGAACCGCTCAGAGCGACGAGATTATTAGCGCACGTGTATCATGATTGGCACAGCGGAGTATGCATGATCGGATGAGAAAAAGATGACGTTTGTCTCTAACAAACAGAGATCACACGGTACGCCCGTGAGTTCTCGGGAGCTTGCACATTCACATATATATGATAATCGTGCATTGACGTTTTCTGTAAATCTATCCCACTCGTGCTGTCTGTAGTCTTTCCATAACGGCAAGCAACGATTTAGCCGATCTACCACCAAAATTATTCATCCGAGATTCATCCTCTACTTAATTTTTTTGTATGTTTAATTTAATTAAAATCTATCGACTTTATTATGAACCGTATTAAGAACTCTACGTGAACTCTAATAAACATTTTACGTAAATTCTATCTTTTACATAAATTCTATCATTTACTTTAGCTTTTATTTTTTTCAAAATATAATTAGATAGCGATCAATTTTTTTGAAGATTCACAACTTGCTAGCTTTTTGTTATAAATTAAGATTTTCACTTTTATCAATTTTTTTAATCAGGTTTTTTAAAGAAAGATCGTTGAGAAAGATGCGTTTCCCGCAAAGGAAATACGAGAATTTTAATGAATATTTTAAAATTCCATTGATACGTCGTAATTAAAGCTATATTATTATATATTAAATTATGTTAATGAAAGTAGCTAAAAAAGTTGATATACATTATATTACAATAGATCATCATAAATTTAAATAAATTAAAAATTTACTCGAGTAGCTTTTAATTATTTCATCGAATATTGAAGCGCATTTTATAAACGAATTAAAGAGGACATTATTCAGTTAAAATATATACATATATTCTCTAATCATATAAGTTCTGAAGAACTCAATTGACGCAATTTAAATAAGGATTAAAATATCAGAAGAGACACGGTCTAGGTGGTGGATCTAGCATTCCGTGACACAAAAACACTCATCTAACAAATTTTCAAGCGTGAGACGGCGGGTTTACCTTCGTCGCTAAAGTGAGACCGGTTCGTTTCGAGGAGGATTATGAAAACGACTCTATTTCCCGAGCATATCTAGCGGTCATAGAGCGGATTAACCACAGATCCTGGACATTGTGTATTAGCCGATAGGCAAACAATGAGTTCGAGCGTAGGTATGGCGACAACAGCTTTTCGCCGAAGTGAGAGATAGAGACAGAGAGTGTGATATTTAACTACGCTGAGACAACGCGACATATCCTCATAGCAGGTACCTGCAATCAAGAGACTGGTCAGCGATATTCGATTCAATGGGCCTCCGCTTTACTGACTAGACGGCGTGGGAAACCCGATGCAGTGCGCCTTAGTGGTAAAAAAATCCGATTGTAATTAAAAAACGAGATAGTGGAACATTGATTAAGAAACGTCCGATCCGATCTGGAAATCGCATTCACGATCGAACGTTTTGTAATTCAATTATCCCTTTTCCTCACTCAACATCCTTTTTCACGAACTACGCGTTCAAATGTATCTACAGACATGGTGATTTTAGTAGATCAATGTCCAAACCACTATCAATTTCCGCGATTGTTACATATACATTGTTCTCGTGTGTGAAAATGTAATATGATTTTACGCATGATCTTTCTACCAATAAGTGTGCGCGCTGCGATATCTGCGATAAAGATTTGGGGAAAAGCGGAGAGCATAGGCGCCGACATACTTTCGATTTATGACAAATATTCAATTAACTCGTTCAAGCTAATATCGAGTTAAATCCACATATCAGCACGTATTAAATAAACTTTATTAAATAATCCTCCAGAAGACTGGATAAGGGGGCTTACAATCTTTTTCCATAAAGATTGTAATTATAACGAAAACAAAGTAGATCATGGTTCTGTGGAAACTCGGTGGAGTCATCAATCGAATTAATCTACACGGAAAGATTGTTTCCTTTCCGTGAAATGTTAAGAGTGCAACTCGACTGATTGAGGAATGATTATCGCGCACTGCCGGCGCCTATGACACGATGAGTAAGCAGTAGACGGTTATTAGATAGTTACCAATGTGAGTAAGTAAATTGTACGTAGATTATAGGCGTGTGTTAGATGTGAGTAAGGTAGCTTTTCCGCTTTAAGTAGACGCTGTTGCGCGCCGGGGAGTTCACCGCTGTGTCGTTACTGGAACATAGCCGGTGCTCGTTTTCACACACGCAGAGGACACACACACTAGCTTTGCCTCTAGCCGAACAGCTATGGCAAGCCCGCGCGCGAATGTCGCACAGGGTGTCCTTTCTCAACCCTTTTTTGCCTGATCGCAAGAGAAGTACATAAAAACTAATCTAGCACTAAATTGGCCAGACAAATGACCAAGTTGTCCAACGTTGTTTCCGTTCTGTTATTGTTTGTATTTTAGACAAAATTTAATTGGCTCCAGATAAATAATACAAACTTTCAAGAGGGTATATCTTCCGGAAGATTGAAGAATTCATCGGATAGTTTTTCGGATTTTTCTGAGTGATGATTCCACGAGAGAGAAGTTTAATAATCGTTGACAGAAGTAAAGAGAATAAAGAGAAAGAAATCTTTATAAAAGAGAATAATCGCGCTTGAATGATTTCAAGCAATTAGGCAATAAAGGATTGAGAGGATAAATTCGCTCTCGCAAAGATACTGCATCTTCCCCTTGTAGCTTCGAAAGTCAGTTGCACCAATGTTAACGAATCGTTCTTCAATAATTTAATAGAATTCTTCTTCTGGCAACTACATTAAACTGTGGTATGTAGAAGAAAATGAATTAAATTATTAGAGACTTATTTTATTACAGATCGATATCGTCTTCTGAATTCAGCACAATATTATTCAGATTATAGACATTTCAGAAAATTTTTCGGGCATTTATATTATTGCAAAGAAAAAAAATTAATAAAAAATTAAGTATCATAGAAATAGTAAGAATAAGCAGAAATTGATGATTGGTAATTTTAATTGAGAGTTAACAGCCACGATCACAGATGCAATTGATTCCGGAACACAATTAATGCATCACTACAATTTTCAGCGTAACGAACGATAATAGACTCCGGCAAAAAAGATATTTAATTCTTTAGCGAAGCATGGGGAAGATCACTTGTTACAATATTGTCGGAATGCATTACTAGGAAAACTCACCTTCGTCGACGCAGGGAAGAATTCTGTCCTGGTAAACCAAATTGACCTCTGGGGATTACCATGCGTGCGTTGCCTTGAGCAGGCCGCGAACCCCCATGCGCCTGCAGCATGCTCAAATGAGCGGCATATCCGTCATACAGTATTGTCGCCATAGCTTGATGCTTCTTGGATACTTTGCCGATGATGAAGATCTGGCTCGGTTTGAGACTTATCGCCGTGTACACATTAATGTCCTTCTCGCTGCCGTACGCCTGATGAATTATCATACCATGCTCCTAAATGACATCCAATTGATCATTATTGATCATTCGGTATCACATCTATTGTGAATATTGCAACTGCAGCTTTGTTAACTTTAAATAAATTCATTTTAAAATTAACAAATATAATAAAATATTTTTATAAATCGCCAAATACACATTTACACAATAAAAAAGAAGAAATTAAGTAAAATAATGATTAATTTGTTTGTAAATTTACTTATTAATCAAAAGGTGTATCATCTAAATAATGTTTATAAACGTAATAATTAAATACTCGTTTAATTGATTTGTTTAATTCTATTAATTATATATATTAATTCTATAATCCTGTTAAACACAAACCTTCACAAGCTTATTCAAGTAGGCAGCTTTGTGGGCGAGCGGATCCCTCGACAGACCATCGGCAAATGAGACGAGACCATGAGGAAAATTATGCTGCGACAACCAAGAAACCACTGTCTGCTGTTGCATATCTGGTCTCGCGGTAATATAAATAATGAGATAACCCAACTCTTGCCAATGCCTGCAAGAAATAATAAGAAAGAACTTTAATTTACAATATCCATTTGAAATAAAGAAAATAAAATTTCAACTTTTCCAATATTCATGATGCAAGAGGCAAATATAACTTGTAAAATTCGTTTTGATTTATTTTTGTAATACGTTACCTTACAACGTCAACGGCACCAGCCCAAACTTTCGGATCTTTACCACTCACTGACCTACTAGCGGCAAAAGAGCCGTCTATGCTAAAAACCACACATTCAGTTTTCGGCGGTATCACAGCCATGAAAAAGTCTACAGATGTATGATCTCCCCTGAAATATACATGCATTAGGAATTTATTCTTCTTTCTTACATTAAAAAAAATCTTATACTAATTTATATGGATTATATCTTTAATGGTTGTCATTTATTTTAATTTCTTTTTTTCATAATAATGTAACAAAAAAACAGTAATCTCAATCTTTTTCAATTTAGTGCATTAATTCTAATCATTGATAATAATAACTTTAATCTGTATCAATCACGACTTGCTATCTATTTATAAGAAATAAATATTTACCTTACAACCATCTTTATCGGATAAAGTCCATAGCCTAGCGCTTTGTCACTTGGTATTTCGTAAATTATTCTACCATTCTTATCAGTTACCTCGGTAGAAAGATACGTCCATTCACCGGCCGGTGCGTTTTTCATAATATGGATATCAACTTTCTCACCTGTAACAGATTAGAAAATGTATAATATTTTCTATCTTACATTTAATATTATATATTTATTCATTACAATATCAATTTCTTCCAACATAAAATTATCTAAGTATCAAGAATATGATGATCAAATAAATCAAAAAGATTAGCTCTAGAAAAATTCTTATTATTGTTCATACCTGTTAAAGTTATCATATCAATAGGACTGTACATAAACCTAGCAACTAATACTTGTGGTGCACCTTCCCTCACGATGACATCATTCGCTCTGTGATTGGCAGCAACATTCTGAAACATATCAATGTAAGAATTACAGCAAAAAATAATTTTATAACAGAAAATTAAAATTAAAGATTAAATTTAAATTAACAAAGAAACCTTAAGTTTAACGGAGGTACGCTTTTTATTCCATTTTTCTCTGGGTTGACCTGGACGGAAGCAAGTGAGATCTTTCTCCTCGTTGCCGAGTAGTGGCAAATCAAATCTGCCCAATTGTCTCAAAATGAACGCAATCACGTCCGAAGATTCCCAATAACTAGCATGGAAGAGATGAGGCAAGGCGTTTGTAGGAAAATTAGCAAGACCCTCTGGACAGTAGAGCGCATAATCTAGTCTCTTAGTACCCCACCATTTTTGCATCACTAGAATAAGATAATTCACATTTTAAATAATTTCAAAATATTTTTCATTATAAGATGGTCCACTCTTGAAAAAAATAATGCTTGTTTAGAAAAACTATTACTAATTTAATCCTGAAATTCAAATTTCTAGAAGAACAAATTTCTAAAGACAAATTTTTGAAGTATAAATGACAACGCAATAAATAACTTTTACTTACGGGCAGACACTGCCTGTAAAGGAACATTGTCGATAATGCCTGACATTGTACTTTGAAGTGATATATCGGATAATCTTCTTAAATGCGACACTTGAAGATTGGGAACATTCAATCCATCAGCGAATAATTGCGGATTAGTCTGGATAGTTTCCACTGAAATTAAGTTTACAATCTAAGTTAAAATCTTTTCTTTTTAATTTTATTACCTTAGAATAGAAAATGTAATTTTTGTTTCATTCCATGATTCTGTTTGCAATTGTAATACACTTACGCAAATGATAAGGCTGGCCGTTGCCGAGCGGGTACTTTTGATATCGGGCAATATTAACCGGCGGGATCAACGAAAACCTCGCCGAGATCAAAGGTTCCAATCTCACGGCCACGGGATCCGTGGGATGAAACAGATTGTACACTTGATTGACTAACGGTCTGGGAATGAAACTATTCTTGTCGCTGGCGATCTTCCTGTAAGCGAGGACTAACGCAAGCGGACTGCCAAATGTAAAAAAGTCACCCACCTCAAAGTCAAGCTTGTTGTCACTGCACACGTCACAATAAAATCTAATTAATGCTTTCGTATTCATCAATTCATATTCATCAACAGATCAATTTTATTAGCAACACGCACTATTAATAAAATGCAAATAATTGATATTGAATTATAACGTACCAGTTTTCTCTTTTATCTTTTTAACTTTACTTAAAAAATTTTAATCAGTAACATAATAGTTGTCGCTCACCTCGTACCGGAAGACCTTCTTCTAGGAGATGGCGCGGACAGATGCTTGCCATCTTCGGCGTTTCCGCCATTGTCATTACCCTGCTGGCCGCTACCCTCTAGAATACTATTCTCGCTGCTGTGTCTCGAGTGCTGTGTCGCTCTGCACAAGGCGTCGTAGGTCAAGATTGACCCAACCGAGTCTCCCACAAAACAGATCTGTCCGTTAAACCCTTTACCCTCGTTGCTCTTAATAAAGTCGTGATACACTTGATTGGCGCTCATCACCACGCGCGATACCGCATCCTGATATTCGGAATTCGAACTCGCTAGTAACGGAATTGCACCGATCGGAATGGTATCGTGCGTCACTTGTGGAACGTCCATGCATGAAGGCGACATGTCAAAGCTGTATGGACTCAAACTGCAATAAAATGATAATATTATAATGATATCCACAGATGATATTCGAATGCAGACGATAGATATGATATTACCTTGACAAAATTCCTAAAGCCTCAGTACAAATCGAAGGACAAGCGACAAATTTAACCGATATGTGACCGACCATGCTAGGATAATGTTGTCTCATAACGGATTCAAAAGCTCCGCGAAATGTCGTTATGTCTGACTTTTTCGCTGTTAAATCGACATTCGCGTCTGAAATATAGAAATATAATTTTAAATCGATATATGCTAATATATAATAATAATCTTCTTTGTTTTCTCTCAATTAGCACAATAAGAAAATATATATAAAATAAAAGTTCTATATCGCCAAATGCATCACATATAATTATAAAACTAAAATAAAAAATTTAATATTTACTTTTATGTTTAAAGAAATTAAAAACTTATAAATTAAATCATCAGTCTTTAAAAACTTGTATTCGTGTGTATTCGTTGTGTATTCGTTAAATAGTTTTTATTTACCTAAAACACTGCCACCATGTACCACGATAATTAAAACAGTAATTTTGCATGGTTGATGCGTAGGAGAATGTTGAGGGGATGTTGGACACGACACGTCGATGCTCGCTGAGGTATTGATCTGCAATCTTTTACTGCTTCGTTCGTTAGTAATACGCTGCAGATATGATGGTGAAAATATTGTATCTTCTGAAAATAGAAAAAAATATCCTTATCATTATCGTCTACATTAGAAACAAACAAAAAATGATTAAATTTATGCTACATTTTATCAGATTTCGAAAATAAAAAATAATTTTAAAATATGTATACAATAATGCGGCGTAAATTTAATAGTAATTAGTACATTTATGCATAGATATTTTTCTAAATATAATAATAACCTTGCTCGTTTGCCGCAGACGGTGTCCGCATAGTCGTGTCCTCCCCTTCTGCTAGAAGATCCAAAGAACTCCATTTAGCTAATGAAGAGCTATCTTCAAAGTCCTCTGTGTAATCAGAAACGTTAACACTGCTTATGCAATGTTTCTTCTCCCGGATTAATTGTATTTTGAAATAGGACTCATAGTATGAAAATAGGACTTCATAATATGAACTAACATGACGTTCCATGAGAGCATGATTTCAAAAATAATTGCCAATTTTGTAACAATATTGGTCTAGTTTATGATGTATCAATAAAAGCTTAATTGCAATTATGAATTATTCGAATTCTAGATTATATAGAGGTCATTTCGCACGTGTTATTTCTAAAGCAATATCTATGTGAAAGTCTATCTAATGAGTTAATTTTCGTTAGCCACTATGTTATATTAATTAAATCTCTTTACTACGTAGCTGTGCTGCCGCATGCCGCCTGTGAGTCTTTCGCGAATTTTCATGCTCGAGTCTAATCTTAGTCATATGTCACGTCGAAAGATGCAAATTCTGTATGTGCCAAACAGCCCGATTTATCGCATCGTCTACGCGTATTTTAAGGCCATTCTTTTCTAATTCTGTAGATAGAGATGATATATGTGTGACGATTCTCTCTCACTCTCTCTTTCTGTCTTTCTCTTTTTCTCTCTTTCTTTCATCCTTTCTCTCGCCTCGCAATTTATCTCACTTATTACTTATCACTCTACATGTCCTACCTTTGCGTATAACAGGTATAATGAACCCAGCTGCAGTATGGGAGTGCGACATAAAAAACAAAGAGGATACACATAAAAACGCAGCACATGCTGTCTTCTCTACTCGAGTTATCTATGCATTGTTGCAGGACACGCTTCTTCCGTGAATGAATAATTCACAAAAGTTATTCACAAGCATCATTACAAAATTATTAATATTTATATCTTCAGATATAACAGAAAATGTATGTCTCAAAAGAATTATTTACACTTTGTACGCACATATATTACATAAAATATAAATTTATTTATCTTTAAATAATAACAAAAGTATTTGTTTCTTTGTAAATTTTCTCAAAATTATTATTTGTTTTTTAATTAATTTTGACATTAACGTCCTAGATAGCTCTTTGACATATCCACGACATTTCTCATCTTTTCAAAAATATGACTTAGATTATTCATTAATTTTTTATAATCCATTACCATGAAAGCAGCGTGTCGCAGAATAATTATCCGGCTATCATTCATTTATGACGAATCGTGTTAATGCGTTTTCTCTAAATTATCACAGGCATGCTATACATATGCTATACGCATGCGTCGCAACAGTCTTACCCTGACAATCGAAGAACTCGTCATCACTGCCGGATTCGGACTCCCTGACGATACTCTCCATCCTCCAATTCGCGATCTGTATGTCGAAATTCTTATTCGAATTTGGCGAGTGCAAGGGCATGTTGTTTTTCATCCAGTCCTTCTTGGCATCCTTTTCATCGGCGGTCACATTTCTACAACACAGCTCACTTTTAATTCCAATTAATTTACCAATTCACAATAATACCACAAATAAAATCTACTAATATCTCATTTGTAATATCACATTTAATAATAAATCATGAATAAATCACGTTTTTTTAATTGTTGTCTAAGACACAGTTCTTTGTAGTTTCGAAGTCAGAACTACTAATGTCACAGATATGAGACACTCACAATTATCTTATCATTTAAGAGTACAATGCAAAGAAAGCAACATTAATAGTTAGGTAAGTACGTACCATCATAATATATAAAATAAAATTCTGTCATACATGAAAAATATAATCAATAGCCGTACGAAAATACTAAAATCAAATAATTTTCGCACACTTCCGCATACAAAATTTTCCTCATAAATTATCACGCGATAATCAAACAAAAAATTTCTTCTGTATCAAGAAAAATCATAAGCTCGTCAGTTGTATCATAATTTATCGGAGCACACATTTTTTTACGTAACTCTGAATATAAATATAAATATCGTAAAATATCGCGAAAAAAGAGGAATGATCTTACTTGATCTCATTCAGATCGACCGGCGAGTCCTCAGGACTGATCTCACCCTCGGAGCTGCCTGCCGTGTTGATGATGGGAATGTCAGATGGTTTCCTGACGGAAAGCGGACTCTGCATCTCTTCGTTTTTCTCGATGCTGCCCAGGGTGGCCGCCAGCGTCTTGGCTACCGCCGACTCCGCCATCGTTGTATTCGCCGGCGTCACCGTCGCCGTTGTGGTTGCCGTCGTCGTTGTCGCGTTCGCCTTTCGACCCTCGTCCTCGAGCTCATCTTCCGCAGAATCACCCAGGCCCATCTTCCGTTGCAGCGCGAGTTGCGTCTGCCGCTCGATCTCCCTGATGTCCTCCATCGTCAGACCGTTCCACTCATCCTGCCAGGCCCAGGCCTGCCTGTGCGCCCGCACCATCGTCTTCCGCAAAGCTGAAACCGACCTTAATACGTCTCACGCACGGCCGACCGGGTGCACCGTTTAAAATTAACCCTTTCGATCACGACCTCTTATGTGTCGGAGGGGAGGAAGAAGCTATTCCAGTACAACGGACAAATGGCAACGCTCAACGTATTGCGCATACAGAAAAAATATAGCGAATATCATTTAAAGAATAATCTTCAATTATAGTTAATTGATAGTCAATTAAATCGATGAGATATTTTTTTATATTAGAAATTTATGATTTTGTTTTTATCCAATGTTTGGATACTTTGAATTTTTAATAAAAAGTAAAATAAACTGTCTAATAATAAATGAAAATGTTCGCTATTTAAAGCTATATTAAGAGCTAAGTAATGTTAAAAATCAACAATGAAGGATTGTAGTTTTTTTAATAAATTTTAATTTTTATTGAAAATAGAGTGGTTTATAACCTGCTATTAAGCAATTAAAGCTATTAAAGCTATTAAAAATTTAGATTAAAAAAGATTTCTGCACGGGACAAAGATTTCATGATCGAAAGAGTTAACCCTTTAGCTGCCGGGCTCTTTGCACAAGAATTTATATTTATCGAATTAAACTTAGCAAATTCAAATCAAAGCGTCGTTATTCATAAAAAGCGAAAAATGGATAAATACGTAAATTACAACGCACAGAAGCGTATCAGAGGTTGTGCAATTTCTTTCGATTATTTTTTAGATTATAACTCCCTTCAATATTGATTGTTTCTAGTATTTAACATTAAATATTGTAACGTTATATTTGATTTTTCGAAATCAATACTTTTGCAACATCTCGCAATTAAATCGTTTAATAGAAAGATTCTCTTTGAGGAAAGATTCTTTTCATCTTGTTTTTATCAATTTCGTCAATAGACATTTTATAATTCCAACGAAACGCACAACTTCCGAGACATTCCGTGTATCAAACGAGTGAATCTTTAATTCGCACTACGAAGAGAAAACGCGTACTTAAGTTGACAAAGCTAAAATCCTACAAATTTCTTTTTTATTCCGAAAGAAAGAGCATGCGATATATTCGAGAATTCAGATTTTTGACAGATCTTATTTCAGGGAAATGATCCCCCGTAAATTTGTTCTTAGAAGGAAGACGGTCTCGCATCGCTCGAGATAAAATGGCGAAGTTAAGTCACCCGACATCCAAAGGGCAAGGTAGGGCAGAAAGGTGAGCATGTAACGGTACTAACCTACGTCGTGTATGAACTTTTCTAATTTCGTTTGCATGCCCCAATAACGGAACTCTACTCGGCATAGCTTGTACGCGCACATTAGTGACTTTCCCGACGGCGTTGGCTGTTGCTTTCCCTAGCGAGAGAATCGCTAATGTATCAACGGTGAAACTACTTAAGCAGAGAGGTGTAAACACTTTGAAAGAGATAGAAAAGAAAAGGAAAAAGAAGAATGGGGAGATGTATACTTCCACATCGGCCCAATAATCCTCGAGCCACGTGTCCTCCAGCGGGCCCCTTCCGGTCTTCTCCGACACGTATAACTTGGGGTCCTCCTCCTTCAAGTAGTCGGTTCCGTAGGGCTGATCCTTGACAATGTCGATCAGATCTTGGGAACAGATTATCAGAGTGGAGTCAGAGTTTAACGTTCCGTTATTTCTTAACGCAATTAAAATCAACAATCATTCACAACGTGAAACTATTAAAAAAAAAAAAAAATAAGAAATTTCGATTTACCAGATTCGAGAAATTAACAATCCAAATTCTAACAGAAATGAACGATCATCATTTACTTAGTCGTCGATAAGTCGTACGAGAACTGTATATAGCGAGCAATTTTACCACTAAAAAGTATATCGCAATATTCATTCGCTACAAATATTTTGCATCGCGTGATGATGCAACTCTCTCCTTTCAAGTTCAACCGCCGTTGAACGACATGGCAAGATCGTGTGTCATTTATCTAATCTAATCTCTCGTCTTTACCCACGATCCTGTTCCTGTAATCACTGCCGGTGAGATTGAAGACGTTCTCCTGGTGGCCGTCGTCCGGGAAGTAATAGGTCTCTATCTCGACGTAGAACTTCTCCACGAACGGGCACGTGTAGCGGGTCTTGGTGTACGGATAGGCGTTCCATGCCTCCTCTTTGGCGATCAACGCCGACTTGGGCAGGAGGCTCTTGAACCAGCCCGGCAGGTGACTGCCCACATGATAAATTTTGTGTGTGTACTGCCCGCTACCGCCCGGCCCGTTGCTATACGGCTCGTTCTCGATTATCTCCACGCCGCTACCGGCACCCTTGCTCTCCTCCCGTGATTTTTTCTGCGAGTTACAGAGCGAACGGTTATTGATCACTTAAGGGGGCGCATTCGCCCTCGACCATAAAATCCTTATCCTTATTTTTATCGATGGGAGAACGTTCGTTAGGCAGGCATACGCGTTGACGGGGCACAAATAGAGGGGAAAAAGAGGAGGGAGGGGGGGGGGAGGGAAAGAAGAATAGGAATACGCGCGGGAGATAAAAATCACGAGAGACAAAAACGACGTAGTATTATATCGGGGATGTCGAATCAGCGAGCGTTTGAATACGTAATGCGTTTTATGAGAGAAATTAATCGCGTTAGAATAATTATTGGCTATATGTATAATCTCTATTACGGCTAAATGTACATAATTTGTTACAATTGACAAGTAATATTCGATTTAATTCTTTATCGTAAAATCGCAAAATCCGCAATTGTCCGCGCAAATAATGAACTCTGTAATGGATGGATTTAAATAAATCAACAGAAAAAAAGAGAAATTTACGGCTTCGTCTAAATAAAGATCTCTCATGTCCATCATGTTTCGATGCAGATTTAGCAATTCATTCATTCTATCAGTGTTAATTTTAATCTCGATTTAACTTGTTTTTTTTTATTTTCCTTTAATTATAAAAATTAAAGAAAAAGGGTAAAGAGTAAAATTAAGCCGATAATTAAAATTACATTAATAAAAATAAACATCAGTTTCTACACAATTCGCATTAATTTCTTTCTAGGCCAAAATCTGCTCAACCTATATTTCTCTGGCTATAGAACATTTCTATTAAACTCGCGCAAAACGTGTGAAATATGAATATAAATGAATCTTGATTGACAGAATGAATAAATCAAAATTGAATCATTATGCGTTCGGACTCTCTCGAACGATGTGAATCAATGCAAACTGAATTAATCACAATAATTACCGCTATCATGTACAGCTGAGCGATTCGATACTCCTCTACCGTGAGAGGCAACGGTATGCGATATTCCTTGATCAACATTTTGTCGGAGCCTGTCCCGTATCACCCGTGCATCTTCGTAAAGTGCATCTTCCCTTCAGAGATACCGGACGCCGCCACGTTCGACGTCTTCGCGACACTTCGAGAAATCTCTCTCGGCGAGAATCACGAGTGACGTCTCCATTTTGCGTCGTCAAGTATAATCCTCTGCAATAGTAGAAAGGAGATACTTTCATATCGCGTTACGTCGGACCTGAATTCAAAGTTATGATTGCTACACGAATAGCATTCTGAGAATCCCTCGATTTTTCACGCTTATGTCGGGCAATAAAAATTTTAGTAAAGGTTCCGATAGTAATCGCCACTCTCGAAAAAAAAAAAAAACTGATAAAAATAAGTTAGCAATTTGAACAGAATCTTCGCGTTCAATAATTTTTTTCTCGAATTTATATAAATTCAAGAACAATTACCTTCGCCGCCGGCGTTATTTTTTTAACGAACTTGAAACGTACCTAAAGCTAGAATTAATCATTCCTCTAATAAATTGATAATTAATTTTCGATAATCGATTTTCTTTTCCCTTCTAAGAAATTTTTAAAAATATCCATTTAACCATCAAGAACATGTCCTTTCAGCTATTAAAACACGAGTTGCCATCGCGATTAAAACCACTTAGAATTTAAAAACATTAATTAGTCATTTATTATGAAAAGGAAAAGAGATTGATGGAGAACATTTATTGTTATAAAGCTATGTGCGCCGCTGGAATTTCCTTAAGATTCTTTAATAACTCTTCTTGACTATACGTTGCGGTGAATGCAAACCACACCGATTATATCGCAAAGCTGCAACTTGTGCTCCGCGATACGTAAATATCGCGTCCTTCCTGATGAGAATATTTACTGTGCCGGAAACAGTCGCGCGTAATTCCGCTGCTTAGTCACAGTTAAAAGTAGCCGTTAATGATCAACACGGACGATAAATCTAAATAACAAAACATACAAGTGTGCGACCATGTTACATTACATACAAGTGTCCGACAATTGCAATTACATTTTTATCAATCGGTAAACAACAGTTCATCCAGATGCATCTCTATACATATGGACATAATGTGATGTGGCCTTGGTGCATCATTGATAACTACACGAAATAATAATGGATTATGTGCGGCACTGAATAATGAAGTAATGTTTATGCGTATTTCGAACGCCAAATCAGGAAATGTTATTTACATGGTCAATAATCATGCAAATTATCATATAATTCCGATAACATTTTCGTACTTCCATCGACATTTTGAATTATATATCAAGCTAAGCGATAATATATATTTAAAATACAGAGATAGTTTTTTTAAAAGATCATTTTTACGGTCTTGAACAGGAGGAGCAATTTGACATTTTCCTATCTCAAAAATATCACGTTTAATTCTGTTTTCCGTCTAATCCTCCGCGAAAAATGTCACCCCCTGAAAACCGAGAGAAAAATATTATTCCACGTTATTCGACTTCTAGGAAACAACCCACGACACTAAGCAGCTTCGTTCCCGGATCCAGGCAAGAGCAATAAACAAAACGCGATTACGCAAAACGTTTATTTATACGCGGGTTAGTTCCGGCGCTCGTACTTTATTCGAATTTTATATAATGTGTGAAATTAGCAGCCGGCAATTACATAGATCGCCTCGCTGCAAAATCCGCTGCGAAATTCACGAAACTACGATCGCCCCTGTAAACACACACACATACGTACACTCGTCCATACACGAAATCACGAAAGTTAGCCGCGTGTGAGCCACAAATGCATATTTATTTCTGTACGAGCGAGAGCAATAGATGTCGATGATAACGTCGGACGTACCATTCACACCATCAACGACGTAGTTTCCGGAAGAGATACTTTCGAGTTTTCACATTTTCCTCGTGTCTCGATTAACGTTCGTTCCCGCGGAAAAGATGTCTGGACACGACGTGTCACTTCGCCTCTTCGGTTTAGAAACTTTTACGGCTACAGTCGCTGAATGTACGATAATTAATGCTTTAATCAATAGTTCCAAGTTCGCTTCCCGAGTTGCTTCGGGCGTGATAAATAGTGAAAAGAATTCAAATCGTCTTATACGATTTTCGAAGAACGATTTCTTCAACGTTTCCAAAAACGTTGCTTTATTGAATTATTTTTATTATACATACACACACACACACACACACACACACACACACACACACACATATATATATATATATATATATATATATATATAAAGATATTTTAATAAAAAAAAAGCTTATGTATAATTCTACATGTAACGCGTCAAAAATAAAGTATTAAATTGTTTAATTCAACAGAATTAGTAATTTAAGCAAGAATAAATTTTAAATAATGATAAATAAAATGTGAAACGGGTTATTACAGTTATTACAGTTAATAATATATCGCGAGGAAAAAATTCTCTGTAAATAAATTTCTTTAGATTTAAACGATTTTTAAAGTCGATGACAAACGCATACGACAACATATATTTTTCGCAAATAAATAAGTTCTTTGTTCTTTTTAGAAAAAAAACGCTTATAAAAAACTTTTCTATCTTCTATTTACTATAAATTGGCAATAAAAAGAAATTAAGGGGTTTAATTAATCGCATCGTTTTTTAGAATTTTTTTCGACGAAATCGATCGTGAGAATGAAATGATGTTGTGACCAATATCAAAGTCAAAAACCTGTCCAAATGTCAATATCGAAGGAGGAGGCGCACGGATAAAAAGGGTTAAACAATGACGTCAAATGATGCGAAATGATATCACGGCGGGGACAGCGATTGAAGGGTCTAAAGGGGTGGCCCAACGGCGACGACGGAACCGAATGACATCAGGAAACACAAACACAACACACGAACAGGGCAACGCATCGCCAGCGACTGACGGCGGAACGGAGGAGGCTACTCGATTGGCGGCGCGATCGCACGCGCGACTCGTCGAACCCGCGAAATCGCCGCCGGCCAATCGGAGCTCGTACCCCGCGACCCGACGAGCCGGCGGGCAGGGCCGTAAATTAAACGTCGCCAATGAACAAACATGTTATTTTACAACAAAGAACAGACTCGCGCGCCGTAAACTGCCGTGGCGGCACGATTTACGCACGTCGCATGGTCAAAGAGATTTATGTATCGATGCTTCGTAATTCCGACTATCCACTCCACTCTTAATTATTTAGGGATTTAACTAAAAAGATTGTTGTTTAGAAGACTTAATTATCTGGCTCTCTGTTTAATTAATTAAAAGATTCTCTCATTACACATAAAAGCGTGGCGCAGATACGAGATACGTGACTCGTAACGAATCTTTTTAAATTCGCATTTACAACACGCTTTTATATTTTACAGTGGTCTTAGCGATTATACATTTTTGTATCATACAAATATTGTATTATAATTTATGATATAAAAGTGTTGATAATATCCCGTGAAAGTGAATTACGCAGCGACGATTTCTCGAAGAATATCCAATAATCGTGCGATTACGCAATCGCTTAGCGATTGTTATGATTTACTGCAAAATACGTAAAAGATAATCAATGCATTCGCGAATCTCATATGCGCATCTCCGTAATGGAGAGAGAGAGAGAGAGAGAGAGAGAGAGAGAGAGAGAGAGAGAGAGAGACGCGACGACGACG